ATAGGATCATGTTTATTCATGATATCTAAAAATACTACACATCACGCTTGTATAATGAATCCATCCTTGCACATTTGATCTCCTGTTCCACACACAGTACATTCAACACAGAGAATGAAGAGCATTGGATATGAAGGGCAAGCCAGGGGTATTGAGGCAGAGCAGCCAGATGTCAGTGTGTTGAACTTTGATTTCATCAGGACTTTCTTGTTTTCTCTACCCTATGTCATCCTTTACTCTAATTGCTGTTTGTGCATTTGTTAATAAAACTTCACAAAGTGAGAGGTGAACTCCAAGTTTAAACTACTTCCTGCAAAATAATAAAGTGTTTCTAGACTCTTCCCACTTCATGAAAGGAGGGTTGGGCAAGATGAGCAGCACTCTTCTCCTCATGCCAAGGTTTTCCACAAAGGGAATCTTCCCCACAAAGGGAATCCTTCTCCATGGTAGAAAGATAGGACAAGTCAGTGGCATATGTGTAAATCTGGGAAAGGAAGTACAACTAAGGGATGCTTGTGCCATAAGACTTTCACCAAGAGAAACAGAGAACCATGGGGGAAAATGGCTAGCACTGACATGATCTACTGCTATGTTTTCATGGCCCACAGGCCCTGCAATCAGGATGGGAATTGGTAGAATTCCTGCATACCAATTATATATTGGGTTTATTCCACTTCACACCTATAGTGACACTTCAGTTGAGTCTGGTGAATAAGACAACTGGATTTTCTTCTAAAGCGGGGACAGCAAGTAGCTGCAGGTATGTTATCAGTGGTGCTTCTGCCATATTGTTATAACAATATTTAGAAAAAGCTAAAGGGACTAATTCATCCTACAAAACAAACTCCTTATATGTCAGCCATTCAGTTCTACTTCCCACAGAGATCTTAATGGATAGTGGCAAAATCTACAGAAGAGAGGTGAGCATGTCAGAGGGAAGAGAAGTTGTGGAGTACTGTGATACCATAGGGTTTTTCACATGACAGTTCTGGTATAGAAAGTTTGTTCTCAATTCTTGTTTCCTCAAGCCAGCAATTATCCTAAGAGAGAGACAGTGTGTGAGATATTAAAGTCTGTTGTTGGACCTTGTTATCTACATTAACAGTTATCTCCAATTGTGGTTAGATTGTCTGTAACAGTAGATTTGACCTCTACAGATATTTTTTTAAATGATCCTATTATCAGATTTTCATGGAACAAAAATCACTGACATTTTTCTTACAGGAAATTGTGGAATCTAGTCTTTTAATATTTGTCAGGATTTTAAGATGCATAAGTCGCTGTGGATAGTACTGGCATGAGTTTAGCAAGTAGTTGTAGAGCTTAGAGCCAAAGGAAATATCCCTGTATGAAAATGGATTGGTGCACCAATAAGACCACATAAATAAAAACCTTGTTCACTATTTAAAATATTTTTAATATATTTATCAATAAGCTGTCACCATGCAAATGAGCAGTGGTCATAGAGAATAAAGTTTTAGCATGACTGCAGTACACAAACCAGGAAATATTCATAGATGGGGAAAAGGACATGTACGCATTGGGTGATGTCTCAGATGAGAGATCATTCAGAATAAAACCTGTTGAAAATGGAGAACTTTCTAATGTCTTCATACCCCTGATTATATACCAGTAGAAAGATCACTACCTCTAATAGGCTTTATCTTCTAATTACTTTCCTTAAAGCCTCCTTCACATCCTTGTTCCTTAGGCTATA